CCCCCCCCTGCCGGCGGCCGGCGGGAGCGCGCGGGGTGGGGGGCGCGGAGCGCGCCCTGCCCTGCCCGGCCCCCGCCGCCGGCGCTCCGCGCTCCGCAGGCGGCAGCGGCTCGCAGGCGGCAGCGCTGGCCCGCCCGTCTCCGTCTCTCCATCCCTGCCCGCCTCTCTCCCTGCCTGCCTTTCCCGCCGGGGCTAGCGCCAGCCCGGGGACCCTCTGCCACGGGGGCGCCGCCTCCCCCGCTCGCTCCTTTCCTTCCTTTCCGCCTCTTACCCGGCCGGTGAGAGCCGCCGGCTGGCCCCGCCGGGAAGCCTGGGCGCCCCCCAGCCATCGCTGCTGCTCCCCATGGGGATCCGGGAGTTCCCCAACGGCTCCGCGCGGGGCAAAGCCGGCACGCTGTGAGTACCTGCGGGGCCGGGCGGGCGGGCCGGGGGGACGGGGACGCCCCACACCGCCCCACCTCGCCTCACCTCACCTCACGCTGGCCGGCGGCGCCACCCGCTCCCGGGGGTCGCTCCGGTGGAGGGCGGTGAGGAAAGTTGTGGGCGCCGCGGGCCCGGACCGGCTCCCCTGCCGGTGGGCGTCCCGCCGCCCGCAGCCAACTTCGCCCGGGGCCGGCGGAGGGCGGCGGCGCTGGCAGCGCGGCCCCGGGCTGACGCCCCTCTCCCGACCCGCAGCGGCATGCGGCGCTCCCCCGATGTCAGCCCCCGGCGGCTGTCCGACATCAGTCCTCAGCTGCGGCAGCTCAAGTACCTGGTGGTGGATGAGGCCATTAAAGAGGACTTGAAGTGGTCCCGCTCCGTGGAGGACCTCACCAGCGCGTCCGTGGGGCTCACCTCCATCGAAGAGCGCATCCTTCGCATCACCGGCTACTACGGCTACCAACCCTGGGCCGCCAGCTACAAACGTGAGTCCGCGGCACGGACGGGCGCGGGGGGGGTTGCCAGGACGGGGGCGAGCGGGCGCAGCCCGGAACCGGCTGAGGGATGTGGGCTTGAGGGTGCCGATCGCTTTACCGCTGGAACAAACCTCGCTCCGTGCAAGGAAGCTCTTCACTCCCGGCGAGGAATTCTGCGCCCGTGTTGGCTTAGTGCTTTGGCAGTGGCTAATTCCCGAGAGCGTGGTGCTAAGAATGATGACAGCTAAATTCTGCTAAGAAAATAGGTCAAATATTTGTCTTGGTGTTGCAGGCACACTTAGCAACGCTGATTACCGTGTCTTGACAGCTGTGTAAATGCCTCCGCACGCTCATGCACATACCATTTCCACAAGTAACGCGTTATCAGTGTGTGTTTCCGTTGTTTTAGGAGTCTGTCAGATTTTCACAGCACTTGAGCTGAATGATCTGTCTATTCCTATGTCGAGTGGAACTGCTTCTTCCGTATGCATACACTTGAGAAAGAAACTTCAAATGATAACAATATGAAGAGAGGTGTAGCTGTGTTCCTTCACATACATGATTTACAAAGGAAGCATTACCTTGAGTCTTTGTAACATATCAGCTAGTATTTTTTTGTGCGTAATGCCCTATTTCTAGTCCATCTTTCATCATGTTTATGTCAATTGTATGCATTAAAAAGTTTTAGAATTAATTGAAGTCATAATAATAATTTGGTTGTCTTAAGGTCGTTTGTAACATCGCAGGAATTTTTGTTGATAAAAGGATTCTGCTGTAACAGAAATCATTGCTTTGCTGTAAACACTGACTCTGATAAAGTGGTTGTTTTTATATTGTACTTCCCTAAGTATTAAGTGCAAATTTTATGAAATATTTACTACTGGATTATCTATTTGGCTGTGTGCTTAATAATGGAATAGAATAATACAAGAATGCATAGCACACAGGACTAGTTCAGTTTTTCTCTGAGAGCGAGCTGCTCCTGATTGCCTGTAAATAGGACTTTACTAATAAATATTCTAATACTCTTCTGTGAGAGCCTTTTTTTTCCTTTTTTCTTTGATTGTAATTACGACAGAAATATCAGTTATTTGCTACTTTACTCACTAGGAATATGGTATTTCTATAAGAGCAATTCCAGTGTCTGGATTGGAGCTGTTGAGAGTAAAGCTTATTCAGGCCAGTTTTAAGGATCAGATCATATGTGGATGCCAGACTGAGTTGGATGTTAATGGTTCTATCTGACAGAGTGACTAATAGTCTAGCTGAAGTCACACTGAGCTGCTATGGCTGAACCTTCTGAAATAATAAAGGTCATGCTGGCTCCTCAATTATAACCTATTTGCTGAAATTTATAACTCTGTCTGAAAAAGTTAATAGCAAGCCTAAGCCTGCTATTCTAGTTGCATTTTCTCTCCTAATTCGATCTGAATAACAAAATTACATACTTGAGTTAAAATGGTGGGGAATAAATATACAAAGTGTCTGAGTTCCATAAATGTATGTCTAAAAATAATAGGTTATGTGAATTTGTTGCCAATTTAAAATCTGAGTTACTAGGAACATGGACACATAGAAGAAAAGATACATCTCTACAGCATGGTTTAAGGAGAGCCATGTTGATGTGCATCAGCAAAAGAGCTGACTGAATACAGTATATAATCTGAAGTGGGAAGATAACTTTATCACAGCCACTTTGAAACATCTTTGAATACTCCTTCAAGTTGGGCTGAAGTCTAATTTTGGGATATGGACTTTCCTTGTGACTTTGCAGTTAGAAAATTTACTTGGCTCAAGTACTGTGAGCAAATGATTTTTGTTAAGCTCAAATTGCAACCTGGCTACTTTTTGTCATCTTCTTTTGCATCTTTGTAGACATTTGGATGCAGTGTGATTGTAATTATGGACTGCATTAATAATGGACCTGCTTTGCAGAAAATAAGTCCATAATATGGTCTGATCTAGATTTATTTGGTCTATCTCTCTTGGTGACATTCTTTTTATTGTAACTAAATTGCCCATAGGGCCAGATCTATCTCTTTTGCTCTCTTCCATGAAGGTTATGTGAATTCCTTTTGTACTTTATTTAGACTCTTTATATATATATAGTTGTATATATATATATATAAAATCATTTGAGAGATTGAGAAAACTTTTGCTTATTTGGTTGTTTTTTGTTTTAGCAAAATTCCATTAGGGAAACTACCACTGATAACCTGAGCTAGTTTACCATGACCCCAAAATTAGCTTGGAGAAAGATTTGAAACATACTGGGATGCCTCAAGGTTATGTAGCAATTCCAGTATGTAATATCCTTATAAATTAGTTGGAAAGAGAGAGGAAAGAAGTGAAAATGTGCTAAAGACACAAACTGGTGTGGACTAGACAGAATGAGAAAGGACTCATAACATTACCCTAGGGAGACCTGTCCCAGCCAGGTGACTTGCTGAAATGTCAATAAATGTCATTCAGTTATCACAAACAGAAGCCTCACATTTCCTGAAAATGCTAAAATTAGCTGCCAACTTTCACATTAAATTGGCTGGTGATTTTGGGACTGTACACAGCTCAGGGAAGACCTCTGCTGTTTGACTGCACTTGCAAACCAGATTTTAGGAACTGGAATAATGTAATGTAGTTCCTGCATGTTAGGATGCCTTCAGCAATTTAGTGAAATACTTTAATTATGGTTATCTGCTCTCAAAAAATATTACAGGAGGCTCTGAGATGAGCAAGGAGAAAGAGTACAGGCAAACTGCAAAGAACCTTAAGAGTTTCTGCTGTCTACCTTAAAGAGGTGGAAACAAAAGTATTGTAAAGTTCTGGCACATGCTGCTTAGGGAGCTAGAGAGTTTTTCTTCTTCCTATGTCATAAGAGAAAAAAGGTAGACAGGTAAAGAAGCTGAAAAACCATCAATGAAAAACTGATAGAAAAAGAAATAATGTTGAAGAAAACATGTAATCTTTTTCTTAAGATGAAGATTTCAAGGGATTGTAATAGCAGTGACAAGGTCTAGAATTCTGATAAAATGGGAAACATATTGAAGAGAATATTAAACTTCATTATCCAGAATTTGAATTAGTCCCTCCTTAGGCTGTGAGGAGACTTTTCCTGAGGGTTTCTTGTGTTTCCCTCCATAACATCTGCCAACCTTTAGAAAGAGGAGTGTTCCCTGATCTAATCTGGTAGTTCTTATTTTTTTTAATTCTTTGATTTCCAGGGTAACTAATTGTGTGGTTAACTGCTCTCCATTCTTAATCAAATATTCATATGTGTCCCGTGGGAAATATTTTGCAGAATGTGATTTGATTTTTCAAATATAAAGGCAGAGGGGAAGAAACAGATAAGATGCAGTCAGATTGTAGAATTATACCCTTATGCAGCTACAAATGTGACAGAGCTCAATTATTTGTGAAATTCTCATTGTCAGTAAGAGGTATGTTGACTTTTATTTTTTTTTTCTTTTAGTTAGAACACAGGGATTGAAGACTTTAATAAAAAAAGCTCCCAAAACAATGCCATGAGATTTGCAGATCCCATTGACAGTTTTCTTGTTGTATGGAGATGAAGCTGTTGTTAGAGTTGTATTAGCTCTGCTGCTCTCTTCCATGAAGGTTATGTGAATTCTCGTGATTTCTGCTTCTGGAAGCCTGGGAGCTTCAGTTGAAGAGCAGAGGCAAGTTTGGAGGTGAACAGCCATATTCAAAGTTTCCATTTCACAGCATTGTCAGTTAGAATTAGTTTTCTAAATATTTTTTGAAGAACAGCTCCCTAGGAGCTTTCCTGGACCTGAAATACGGTTGTCACAAAACTCTTGGACTGTCCTCCTGGTCAGTACGGAAGACTTGTCTATTTTAATGATTGGAACAATTGGCAGGGTGCTTGTTTCCACAGGAAACAAGCTATCACCTTTGCCAAACATTCATTTTTCTCTTAACTAGGCCTGTTTCCTGGTGATTCAATATCACAGTGTGTCATTATGTGATTAGTATTTTAAATACATTCACGTGGGCTTGAGCCAGCTATCCCTATTTTACAGTCTTCTTCCTACAGATCACCTGCTTCTAGTCCTTGTTCAAGATTAGGGTCTTTCTTTTAAAGCAGGAACTTTTGTATATCCTTAGCCTGTCTTCATAAATCAGCATTATATATGGGCCTTGGTCTTCCTCTTTTATTCACTTACATTCTTTGTGTGCTGATAGAGATTTCCCTACCTGCAGAAAGAAAATAAAGAGAATGGTATGTAGTTTTAACTCCTCTTAGTTCTTTTTATTAGGAATTGACTGCTGTCTGTGGATCATGGCTTGTGAACATATATTTCTTTGAGACTTTGACCTTGTAAATAATTCCAATTGTCCCAATGATAACTTTTAAGAGACAGGATGTTCAGGTGAAAGGGAACGATCGTGTCCACTAAATGAAGTTCTCTGGCTTTGCTTCTCCCTGCTACTTTAAATATAAATTTTCATATTTTTAATGTTTCTTCATAGTTATTTCAGCAATAACAAAGTAAACCATATCATTTTAATGCACAAAATTTCAATATAGTACTCATCTGGTGTGTTCTTGTGTGTGGTCTTGTTCTGAATGTGGAATTTAAGTCACCAATATCAGTAATGTACTGGAACATATTGGCTGAATAGCCTGAAGATTGTTCAGAAAGCACAATGGTCTGACTATGCCAGTCATAGAATTATACCACAGAGTAATTTGGGTAAGAAGGGACCTTAAAAGTCATTTAGTTTCAACCCCCTGCTGCCATAGGCAGGGACACATTCACTGGACCAGCTGGCTCAAATCCTCATCCAGGCTGGCCTTGAACACTTCTAGAGATGGGGTACTCCTAACTCCTCTGGGCAGACTGTTCCCAGTTATAGACTTTGATTGCCCTTCAAGGTAAAAAGTGTTGGTTTTAGGTAATTAAATGTATGAACACTGTACCCTTATAAATATTAGAGTATCAGTTACACAGCTAAAGACCAGTGTTTCCAACTGATCCCCAGTGTTC